GTTACACAGGTCACAGCAACCTCCAACTCCTGGGCTTACGTGATTCTCTTGCCTCAGCCTCCTGTAGCTGGGACTACAGGTGCCTGTTACAACACCTGGCTATTTTTTTGTTGCAGTTTGGCTGGGGCCACCACCCTCAGTATATGGGGCTGGCACCCTACCCACTGAGCCACAGGCGCTGCCCAGTACCATAATTTTTAAAGTCAGTGTTTTGTAGATGAAAACTTTGGTGCTGATATAATGCTGGAGTTAATAACCTTTTTCATACAGCATTTTTTTTTTTTTGAGACAGAGTCTTACATTGTCACACTTAGAGTGCTGTGGTATCATAGCTCATAGCAACCTCAAACTCTTGGGCTCAAGTGATTCTCTTGCCTCAACCTCCCTAGTAGCTGGGATTACAGGTGCCCGCCACCACACCTGGCTATTTTTAGAGACAGGGGTCTCACTCTTGCTCAGGCTGGTCTTGAACTCGTGAGCTCAGGCAGTCTACCCGCCTCAGCCTCTCAGAGTGCTAGGATTTACAGGTGTGAGCCATTGTGCCAGGGTTTTCTTACAGCATTTCATAAGTAGGCAGATAAATCTAAAGGTAGATTCCAGATGTGGGATTGCTGAGCCAAAGGGGAAGTACATCTGTAATTTCATGGATGTTGCCAGTGTGCTCTGTATAGGGGTGGTACCAAGTTGAGCTCTTTCTCTGTTCTTCTTTTCTCCTCCTCCCTTTCCCTTCCCTGTTTTGTTTTTCAAAGTTGAGCTCGCTAGAGGAAGAAAATAATTTTCCCTCTACTCTTCTAGGTTCTTGGCTGGGACCCCTGTAGCAAAAGTCAGGTTAACAAACTCAGGGAGAGAGTAACTGTCAAAGAGGTGGTTTACAACTCAGGCTTTTGTAACAATAAAGAACAATACATTTTTAGAGAAGTGAAAAGATGAAGAAAAAGGACCTTGAGTCCTTAGTGGCTATAAATTAAATATATGAGAAACTAACGATAGATAAAAACTATTTAGCTAAGTTTGTTAGGGGGATTCCTCTGGTGCCATCCCCACTCTTCTGAGGGTCTAAACTTGTTTGGGGAAGAGGTTTTTATTTTTCCTTATATAGAGGGGAGGAGGGGTACCTTTGTAAATTTAAGTCCCACTTTTAAACAGATATAAGGAGGCAGAGAATTTTTCTTGTATCTACTACTTCTCATTTGCCCTCAGGTCAAAATAATCTTTATACCAAAGTAACATGTTTGGGGTGGCGTATTTTGCTACACCTCAGCTTCCATTAGCAATGTATGAGAATTTCCCCATAGGTTAGCAAACAGAATATTTTATGAAACTTTGGATTTTTGCCAATTAGGTAGAAAATGGAATTTCAGTGCAATTTTAACTTACAGTTTTCTTGTGAGTGAAATTGAGCATTTTTGTGTGTTTTAAGGATGGACCATTTATGGTATTCACTTTTCTATAAGATATCTGTTCATACTCTTTATATTGCTGCTGGACTTGGGTTTTTCTTTTAATTTTTAGAATCTCTTTGTATATTATATCTTTACTGATATTTGTTCCCAAATTGTCTTTTGCTTTGCTATTACAGGAACTATAGTTGAAGGATATGTCTCTAAGTTTTTGCTAAGGATATCTTTCTAATTTGATTTATTTCCTTTTCTCCCTTCTTACTTTCATCCCTCCCTTTTTTCCTTCTCTTCCTCCCCAGCCTAATTTCTTCTTCCTTTTTTTTTTCTTTAATTTGACAGACTTAAATTATAAACCTACATATAAGTCAACTGATGGCCAATAGAACATGGCACAGAGAGGTTCTCCTAAGGAAGGGCACCAGTTTGGGAAGGTGAATAAGTACCAGGGCACTTTTTCAAGTGATTCTCACACCTTAGCCTCCCAAAGTGCTAGGCTTATAAGCATGAGCCACTGCACCTAGACCATCTTAACCATTTTTTTTTTTTTTGAGACAGAGTCCCACTATGTTGCCCTCAGTAGAGTACCATGGCATCACAGCTCACAGCAACCTCAAACTCTTGGGCTTAAGCACTTCTTTTGCCTCAGCCTCCCAAGTAGCTGGGAGTACAGCACCCAGCTATTTTTTTTGTTGTAGTTGTCATTGTTGTTTTAGTTGGCCGAGGCTAGGTTTGAACCCACCAACTTCAGTGTATGTGGCTGGCACCCCAACCCCATCTTAACCATTTTTAAGGGTACAGTTCGCTGGTATGAAGTATAGTCCCATCATATATCTCCAAAATTCATTTCATCTGGCAAAATTATAAACTTCATACCTCTTTAACATATCCCCATTTTTTTCCTTCCCCAGTCCCCTGGCAACCACTATTCTACTTGTTGTCTCTGTGAATTTGACTACTAGGGGTACCAGGGCACTTTTGCAAGAAGTATAGATGGGTTGGAAACCTTGCTTTGGGTTAGCTGTAGGAGGGCATACCTAGCTCATAGTTAAATGCTCATCCTAATAATCCTATCTCCATCACTTTAGCAATAAAAATCAATTTACTAGCTGTTGCTTTTCTCCTAATCAATAAAAAGAGGTGAGAAGTGGCTGTAATATGTCCTATAAATTTCAGAATTTTATTTAACATTGGTGAAATAGGAACTGTCAGGTAACTTAAGGGAGATGTACCAGTGTACATCTGACTTCTCAATTCCACATTGAAAGCTAAAAAAAAAAAAAGGCTAATGAGAGAAAAACTTGATGTCCAAAATCAATTGTATTTATTCTATTTATTTTGATTCTAGGAAACTCCACTGATGTCATGGTCTGATTACTCTCAGCTGCCATATATGAATTATCCTTAACCTTTTAAAGGGGCTGTCCTTATGCTGCCTCCATGTGGATGCCCAGATAGTTCTTCATGTTGTTAATATAAGAAAGACCTGAGGACCTATGGGGGCAGTGTTAGTTATCCAAGTTCTACATTTGTCCTAGGTTTTATGACGTTTTTTGCTAGTTCTAAGAGAGAAGTTTCCAAGCCCATCTGTTAGTCTTTTCATCAGTCCCTGACTTGCACTGGACCACAACACAGCAGCCTCTCACACAGGCAGACGACAGTCATGGCACACTAGGCTGCCCTGTGCATTGCTGGGTCAGTGGTATGCATACCCAGCTTCTGGGGATGAAACCTACAAAGGATTTTTTTTTTTTTTTTTTTTGGGAATATTCCCTTATAGCACTAAGTACTTTTGCTTCCAAGATAACTCTTCATTTTCTTTCAGAGGAAGAACAACACAGCACCATCTGTGCCCACCTATTCCTCACAGTTTATAAAGTCAATTAAAATGCCCTCCCAAGCAAAACTATAGCAAAAAGCAATTGTTATGATCACCTGTCAGTCACCTCCCATCACTCTACATCTGTGAAAATTACTTTGTTGGGACTAATTAAGTAGGCAGCACATTTCTCACACCTGCACACCTTGCACCATCCCTGCCAGGAAGCCTTCTGCATACACCCCCAAATCAATGCCCCTTCCTAAATCTCAGACACAGCCCAGATTCCCCAAGCCCTGGGGGGTGCTGTGGACCTGAAGTGGCTTGGTGTGTAGCTCGCTGCAGAGCACATTGGGCTTTTTCTGACGGAGTGATTCACTTTTGCTCGGCCTGTTCTTCAGGCTCTCCTCCTTGGCAGTCATCTTGTCCAGGAGATCCTTAATAGGTTCCTTCACTACTTCAGCTCCTTATGTCAACTGGTTCTCTGGAATCCCAATAAATTCCCATATTTCCCAGAGGCAATTTCGGGCTTCCTGGAGGCATACTATTATATTCCTCTGCCAGGACCTCCCTTCTCCTCATGGTGGACTCTCCAAGCAGCCAGGCGCTGACCTACTCCATGCAGGCACGAACGATGGCAGCCACCACCTGCAAACACCAACCTTCTTGCTGTGACAGCCGCTCTCCCAGCCTAATTTCTTGAAAAAGGATTTGCAACAGCTTGAAGATAATTTGTTTTTGAACAGTAATCAATTTGGTGAATATTAAGGTGTTTTAATATATATAACCTTACTTCATTTATTTTGAAGGCCATGTTTTTGGTGTACTGTGCACTGGAGAAAGAACCTGTGCCAATGTCCTTGCCTCCAGCCTTGGTGCCACCTTCTAAGAGAAAAACGGTCAGTATATCAGGCTCTGTGTGGTTGATCCCTTCTTCAGCATCAGCCAAGGAATCTTGTCACTCCTTACCACCTGTAGGCATTTTACCTACCAAAGCACCATTAAGACAGGTATAGATTTGTCAGTGTTAAAGGATTTTTTTTTTAACAAAGTGCATGGCATTTAATAGTTGATTACTTGATACAGATAGAAGGAACCATCAAAGGGATCAAAAATTCATAGCTCCCTCTGGTTGAATCTGCATATGATGTTCCAGAGGAGACAGATATTCCTTCTACATTTGGCCTTAGAGGATGAAAGCTGGAAATGCAAGATGCTCCATGCTAACATGGCGTGCCTGCCCTGGCATAATTAATAGTTGGTTTTGTTTAATCTCTAGTTAACTCTTGGTTTTAGAGGATCAGACTATCCAATTCTGGGTTACGTAGGCCATTTCCCCCCCTCCAGCTGTCTCTTGTGAGGTTGAATAAAGGCAGAGAATGACAGGATAAGCAAATCAGCCGGTTTGGCTGTAGTGAAGATTGATGAGTGAAAAAGTAAAAAAGGAAGATGGAGAATTATCTGAATATTTTGTTTATGTAGACTCAATTATCTATATTAACATAAGTATTCATAAATCAAGAGTTAACTGTGCTTGAGTTTATTTATTACTTGAAAAAACAGTAACATATGCATCTATAAATAGGGCCCTAACGGACCTGTATGTATTTTTCTGTGCCACAGCGTTTTGACTGAGATGTGCTATGGAAGTGATACACTGTTGCTGTGGTCAGTAGGGTAGAATTGTTCAAAATTAGTGATATGCTGTGGTGGACTGAAAGAGTAACGCTTCAGTTTGTTTCATTTTGTCAGAAATACTGTTGGTTTTTTTTTCCTTCTCCGTAGTGGGTTGTATCCCCTGCAGAAAAAGCAAAATATGATGACATCTTCCTGAAAACTGATAAAGATATGGATGGATTTGTGTCTGGATTGGAGGTCCGTGAAATCTTCCTGAAAACAGGTTTACCTTCTGCCTTACTGGCCCATATTTGGTAAGACTTCATTTAGATTGACTTTTTTTAAAAATACAGTTTTGCCATTAAAGAAATTGAAACCACAATAAGATGCTGGTATATACTTACAAGAATGGCTAAAATTCAAAACAAAACAACTGGGATAGTGCCAGGAGTTGGCCAGGATGTGCGGGCACTGGAAAACGCTCACACACCGCTGGTGGGAATGCAAAATGGCTTCATATTGTGAGTCATTGTCTGTAAAGCTTTATAAAGTTAAACATTATACTTACCACAACGTCACTTTTAGATATTTACCCGGTAACAATAAAAATTACATACGTTTATACCCACACACAAAATAAGATTTTGCATTAACTCCAGTTTTATGCATTCTTTCTGTCATTTATAAATTGGGCAGTTTTTGTTTTAGAATTCTTTATAGAGAAAATTTAAATCTTAAGAATTCTTCTGGGTAGTGGACAAAAGCTTTAGAATAGGCTGCCTGAGGTGTTTTAAGATTGACAGTGTCAGTTTCTTATTACTAGGATGTTAAAATACAGCAGCTGTTCATATTAGTAAAAGTTAAAATTTTAAGAGAGAATATAAATATCTGAAATTTAAACATGATAAAAACCAATATCTACAGGGCATACCTGTATAATTCTATAGGATGTGTATATACTTTTAAACCTTTACATAAGAATAATTTTCTTGGTCCTTAAAAAAAGACTTGGCTCAGTGCCTATAGCTAGGTAGTTAGGGCGCTGGCCATATATACCAAGGCTGCCAGATTGGAACACGGCTTGAGACTGCTAAACAACAGTGATAACTGCAACAAAAAAATAGCTGTAGTGGGCAACTGGAGTCCCAGCTACTTGGGAGGCTGAGGCAAGAGAATCACTTAAGCCCAAGAGTTTGAGGTGGCTGTGAGCTGACACCACGACACTCTACTGAGGGTGACATAGTAAGACTCTGTCTCAAAACAAAACAAAACAAACCTGGCTGGGCCTGGTGGCTCACAACTGTGATCCCAGGCTGAGGTGTGAAGATTGCTTGAGGCCAGGAGTTCTAGGTTAGTCTGCACAACGTAGTCAGACGCCCTTCTCTATAAAAAAAATTTTTTTAAATTAGCCCTGTAGGGTGCTATGTGCTTGTTCGAGCTACTTGGGAGGCTGAGGTGGGAGGATCACTGGAGCCCCATAGTTCCAGTAAGCTATGATCATGCTACTGTACTCCAACCTGGGTATGGGGTAACAGAATGAGACCCTGTTTCTTAAAAAAAAGAGACAAAGACAAACTTTAGTGTCTTTGATGAATTTCACATAAAATGAGATAATCTGTATGAAAATGCTTTATAGTGTACCTGCTACCAGTTACCTAACAGCAAACATCAAAAGTAGAACCACATAGGAGCAAAGAAGAACTTAGAAAAGAACAGAGCAAGGTAGTAGATCTATCTAGAACAGGAATGCAAGACTAGGAAAAATTAAATATGCGTAATAATAATGGCTGCCGCTTTTGAGTGCCTGGAGTAGGCACTGGGCTCAGTGAGTGCCAGCTGTCATAGGCTTGGCATTATGTCCAGACTTGTTATTTAATGTCTGTAATTCTCATAATATTCTCAAACAAAGAGTATAATCATCTCTGCTTTAAAAATGAGGAAACCAAGGCTTAGAGGGTTTAAAAAATGACTAAGGTCATAAGAAATAAGGAAAAAGCAGGAATTCAAGGTTGGACGCCATAGTCCATGGTCTTTTTTTTTTTTTTTTTTTTTTTTTTT